GGAGAAGCTTGCAAATACCTCTGTCCCAAGCTACACTTAAACTTACCCAATAATTAAGAATGTTTCAGGGTTCTACATATCATTTGTGAAAACTCTGCCATGAACCCATAAGGTATTAACGGAGAGAACACAGAAACATACATTTGTCACCTAAGGCAGCTAAGTAATTTAAAAAGGGAGGGCTGGGACGCCTGGGTGACTCAACAGTTTAGTGCCTCCCTTAGGCCCAGGGCATGATCCTGGGGTCCCAGGATCGAGTTCCACATCGGGTTCCCTGCATGGAGTCCACTTCTCCCTTTGCCTGTGTCTTTGCCTCTCTCTCCCTCTGTGTCTGTCATGAATAAATAAATAAAATCTTTAAAAAATAAAAAAATAAATATTTGGTATCTTTTGAATTTTGAGCCCTGTGAATCTACGCCTACGTTAAAAATAAAATCTAAAAAACAAAACAAATATTATCTATAAAAACTCCATGATTGCCCATGACTTACTCAAAATTTAAAAAGTTATTCCTAAGGGGCACCTGGGTGGCTCAGTCAATTTAGTGTCTGATTCTTGATTTCCTCGCAGGTCATGATCTCAGGGTGGAGAGATTGAGCCCCAAGTCAGGCTCCAAGCTCAGTGTGGAGGCTGCTTGAGATTCTCTCTCCATCTGCCCCTCCTCCAGCTCACACACACTCTCTCTCTCTCAATAAATAATCAAAAAAAAAATTTATTCTTAAGGTGTCTACTGGTGCTGAGATCAAATTAGCATTAAAAATTGTAGTCTATTCAATTCAAAATAGTTGAAGGGCTGGGGGAAAGGCCAGAGATTGTGGAGAGGGTGAATATGAACGAGAAGTGGGAAGATGCAGGGGAGGAAAGACAATGTAATTTATTAATAGTGGAATTTGTTCTTATACTCGTACGCAAGTAAAGTATCTCAACACTTCTCTCTATATATTACATTATACTGTGTTCCTGGGTTCTTTTGCTTATGGGAAATAGCAAAATGTCAACCATTGTTTCTATTAAAGGTCTTTAATGATATTGCATTTTAGATCTGTAATGAAACATGGTGCTCATTGCAGTTTGTAATGCATCTCATTAAATACATTAATAACATGCATTTCACTAAAAGGTCAACTTATTATGGCTGAAGTTTGGCTTTCCTTTAATCACTTCATTTAAAGCTACAGAGCCAACTCTGAAAAAGATAGTAGAGAGTGTCTGTTACAGAAATCCTCTCAATTCTCCCATCCATTAAAATTAGTTACACTTACTAAGAAATCACTGTTAATGTTCTTATATGGAGTAACAGTATTGTGATTTTTCTTTTTTAAAGATTTATCTATTTATTTTAGAGAGAGAGAGGTAAATCTATAAGTAGACTTTAGAGCAGGGGGAAGGGCAGAGGGAGAGGAAGAGGAGGGAGCCCGAGACCCTGAGATCATGACTTGAACCAAAATCAAAAGTCAGACACTTAACCGACTGAGCTACCCAGGCACCTCAGTATTATGGTTTTTTAAAAAGTGCTTTTAAAGATACATGCTGATTTACTGAAAAAAATGATAAAGCATCTACTATTTGCTTCACACAAATCCAGAAGTAGAGGGAGAGTTAGTATAAATATAAATAAATAAGATTGGCCAGGAGTTGATGACTGCTTAGCTGGTAAAGGCATGTGGGTTCATTGTACATGTCTCCATGCTTTTATGTAAGCTTGATATATTCCATAATGACTTTTAAATAACTCATGCTCAGGTTTCTTTCTTCCTTATACATTGCTGCCACCAACATAAAAGACCTGCCTCCTAATCCTGTAGGACTTTTAAAAAAGAAAAACAGAGAAGAAAAAGTAACCTCTTTAGAGAAAAATGCTTTTGCCACAGGAAAACCCTTAATTTTGCTAAAGCTACTTTATGACTTATCACTTCTACAACTACTTCAAGAGTTATAATCACCAACATGTAACACCAAGGTGATTGCAGACTAAGTGCAAGTGTATTGGGGAAAGGAGATACTGATCTAGTTTCTGAAAACTAGAGTTGAGGGTGCTGACATTAGAACAGCATGCTGCTCATCAGTTTAACTATGGTTAAAATCTCCTGCTTTAGAAGCTATTTTAGGACTATGAGAGTAAACAGCAATGCTAAAGACAGAATATATCAATCCTGAGAACAGGATCCCATGTGTAATGAAACTGACGTTGAGAGGATAAGAGGGGTCTGAAAGGAGAAAAAATTAGAAAGGCAGGAGAACCCAAACAGCACTCACAGTGTCACCAAAGTCAAAGGCAAATATGTCAAGGAAAGGTTGAATGCTTCAAAGAGGCAGTAGCTGGCTTTGGTGGCAAGGAAATCTCTGATCATCTTTTCATAGTTATGAGACAAAAGCTGAATTGTGAGCATTAAAGGAGAATGTAACACTACACTTTCCAGAAGGAATGCTTAATTTAAATTATATAGGAAATTTGAGTACTAATAAAAAGTCAAAAAACACTGAAGACAATGAGGATGATGGTTATTACACTGATGACCATCATTCACATGACTGATCATTACCAAATGCTTCTTTTGGCAGAAAAATACCCATGCCTAACATGTGTGCCAGACACTATGCTAATGCTTTATACTGATCATGTCCTGCAATCCTCACAATCCTACTATTGCCCTCTCTCTGTGAAGTAACCTGCCCAAGGTCACATAGGTAATCCATTGCCAATATGGATTCTAAAGCCAGGCGGTCTAACTTTAACTCCTATAAGACAGTGCACTGACAAGAGATTTATTAAAGACAGTAAGTTCCAGTGCCTGTTCTGGGGTCAGTACATATTCAGCCTTGGTTCTACACTAGCCATATAGCACAGTATAAATGGTGCACCCAGAGTAATACAGCCCAGAAGTTTTTCTTAAACCGTTTACCAATATAGGGAAGTATTACATTTTTATGGCTGTCATAAGACTGAAAACAAACAAAAATTAGCCACCCTGGGGCATCTGGCTGGTTCAGTTGGTAAAGAATGTAACTCTTGATCTTGGGGTCATAGTTTTGAGCCCCTCGCTGGGTATAGAGAGGATTTAAAAATAAAATCTTAAGGTGCCTGGATGGCACAGTCGGTTGAGTATCCGACTTAGTTTCAGCTCAGGTCATGATCTCAGTGTCAGAGTCTGCATGGGACCCTCTCTCCTTCTCCTTCTGCCCCTCCACCCCATGCTCTCTTTCTCTCCCTCTCAAATAAATAAATATTTAAAAACAAATCTTAAAAAAAAATTAGTCACCCATCAGATGTGCAGAAATGTTACTTACTAGATACTATTGAAGAAACTATCATTCAGGTTAGAATGAATGATAGAGTATGTGGCACTAAACAAACATGCCTTTCTTCTCCCTCCTCCACTGCCACCCACCCTCTCAGATTGTCACAGACATCTGTCACATTTATTGCAATGCACCAATGAGACAAAGAGGGAATTGGTTAAGTACAAAAAAAAAGATTAAGAAGATCAGAACAGTTGCGAAATAAAAGTAAATGATACTAAAGTAGCTAAAGAAACTAAGTTACACTCAAGAATAAGAATGTGTCCACCTGACAGGGACTAACTCTTAAAATAGCAATATTTTAAGATGATTTTTTTTTTTTAAAGGCACAGGCTCAAGTAAAAAGAGTAATAATTAACAAAATGGAAAAAGTCTCCACATGTAACACTCCAGACATTTAACCTAGAGCAGTCTAGGCCTCCCTCCAAAGCAGACCAGGAATTAGGGTACCAGGGCATTAAAAATAGAGATGGGGCACCTACCTGGCTCAGTCAGTAGAGCATACTACTTTTGATCTTGGTGTTGTCAGTTTGAGCCCCATGTTGGGCACAGAGTTTACTTAAAGAAAGAGGGGGGGGGAGGGAAGGAGGTAAATAGCAGGTAAATGCTCCAAAAATCTCAAAATTTTTGAAAATTGCCAATTTATCATTTATTTAAGAAGGGGAGAAAAACTAAGGGAGGGATAGAAAAGATCTACCCTCACAGTATCCATGGGGTTCCTGACTTCAGGTACCCCCTGATGGACCTGATGGCTGCACCTTAGGAAGCAATTCCTAATTACAGCACGTATTCCGGGGCACCTGGCTGGCTGAGTCGGTAGACTATGTGACTCTTGATCTCAGGGTTGTGAGTTAGAGCCCATGTGTGGCACAGAGTTCACGTTTAAAAAAAAAAAAAAAAAAAGGCAGGTATTTTCCCACAAGAGAGGTTTGCAGGATCCCCTACCATAGAAATCCTAAATATTTACTTTGAACTTTGAGGTGATTCTATCTGGAGGCAGATGTCCTCCCCGGGTCCCTTCCAACTCTAACTCCATGGTACTATAAAAACAAGTTTTAAAGAGCAAATGAAAACACTTAAGTCTCAGCATGCAAATATGGAACAGCAATTCCAACCACAGTACACTAAGCCCAAATCTCCCTCTGCCCCATTCTTTGGTGCCCTTGGGCACACAGCACAGTCCACAGGAGGCAAGGCATGTAACACTTCAGACATTTAGGCGGTGCAGAAGACTTTTAAATAGTAAGGTAGGAAAGCTGGAGTTGGCTCTGCTATGCATGAACGAGCTCTATAACTTTGGGCAACCCATTGTCTCTGGGCTCTGGTTTTCTTATCTGTAAAATGAGGGGACTGCAAACCAAGTAATTTCTAAATTCATCGGGACACCTGGGTGGCTCAGTGGTTGAGTATCTGTCTTCAGCTCAGGGTGTGATCCCACTCTCAGAATCGAGTCCCGCACCAGGCTCCCTGTGGGAGCCTGCTTCTCCCTCTGCCTATGTCTCTGGCTCTCTCTGTGTGTCTCTCATGAATCAATAAATAAGATCATTTTAAAAAAAAAAAAAAAGTAAAAACTATTCTGTACCATATTATCACTGAAACTAAATCTCTTCAACTGTGTGGTGTTGCAAATACAATCCAAGTATATCCCAATATATACTCCAGTGGTTCTAAGTATCCCCATATGACATAAGTATTCTTACTATTTTTTAGGGCGCTGGCAAATTCCGGGCCCCCTTTGTCCTTGAAAATAGGGAAAACATCTGGTTGAGGAAGCTGATTGGTAGTCAACAGAGCTTTTTGTAGCTTGATCCTTCCTTCCAAGAGCTGGTCCCACAGTGCTGAAAAAGAAAAAAGATTTCATTCCTCAGTTACAAAATCTTCCTGGGTTGGGGGGGTAGAGAAGGGGTAGGACAGGAAATCACATCAGTCTCTACAAAGCATTGCTTTATCACAGCTTCCTAGCACAAAAATACTTGCTATTATAGGAAATAAATTCAGTACCTTGGAAGCAAGTATTTGCTATACCAGAGAAGGAATGATGAAGCCCCAAGAGAGGAGAAAACTGTTTCCTCTTCAATATTCCACAGTTGGAATGCCTGGGTGGCTCAGCAGTTGGGTGTCTGCCTTCCACTCAGGGCATGGTCCCAGCATCCCAGGATCGGACCCGTGTCCAGCTCCCTAAGGGGAGCCTACTTCTCCCTCTGCCTACATTTCTGCCTCTCTCTGTGTGTCCCTAATCAATCAATCAATCAACCAATCAATCTTAAAAAAAATATTCCACAGTTGTTGGAAGCCTGGGTGGCTCAGTGGCTGAGCATCTGCCTTCAGCTCAGGTTGTGGTCCTAGGGTCCTGGGATTGAGAACCACAGAGAGCTCCCCGCAGGGAGCCTGCTTCTCCCTCTGCCTATGTCTCTGCCTCTCTCTCTGCGTCTCTCATGAATAAATAAATAAAATCTTAAAAAAATATATTCCACAGCCGTCAAAGCACTAGAACAGAACCAGCTGAGCAGCTCAGTGTAGAAATGATGGGCTAAGCACAGAATAATGGGGCTTCAGGCCTCTAGATAGGGGAGGCAGGTCACAAACTAACTGGAATGACATAGGAGTGAAGGAACAGCCAAAACAAATAAACAAACAGGAGATCAAAAGTAGACACTTAGAAAAATAAGCCAACAGCAAACCGTGTACAAACCTATCTGGTTCTTCACAGCTCTTCCTTTCTCCACTTCCTCGGAAACTCTGACACCGGAAAAGGTCATCACTACACCATCATCTTCACTATTTTTGTCTGCAGCCCTGTCTTCATCACTCTCACCCACGGAGTCTTCATCTCCATCCCCTTCTTCCAGGCCACTCTCCTCCTCTCCATCTTCCTCCTCCTCACTGCTACCGAGGTCATCCATTCCTTCCGTGAATCTTTCAAAGTCACTGATGCTCTGGACACTAAAACCTGGTGTTTCCTCAGGGCGGCTTCTGCTCCTCTTCTTCCGGGCCAAACTGCTGTCCCTGTCATTATCATACTCCTCTTCCTCAGCAGCACTCATGCCATCCTCATCGGATCCCTCCAGACCCAGCCCCTCTGAATCTCCATCTCCAGACTCTTCCTCATCAGATACCTCCTTGTCTAAGCAAGAGAAGAAAGAAGGAAAACAAGACGGATGTTACTTTGAGACAAACACTAGGCTGCATCTTTGATTTCAAATAAAGGACTGCATGCAACATCCATCAAAAAATAATAATAATAATAATACATATTATTACTATACTCAATTCAATTCAAATCTTTATTGTACATCTACCTCGATAATGCTACAGGGAAAAGCAAAGGTGAACAAAAAACATGGATCTCATTCTAACAAAAGGTTCTAGTGGAAAAAATAGACCCTGTGAAACTTAACATAGACAGGGCTTGAAAACCCAGAGAAAGGGGAAATTTTAAGTGTAGGGCAAGTGGATTTAAACAAGGCTTTTAAGAAAGAGGCTAGTAGCCTTTGATCTGGACCTTGAAGAACGGTAAGATTTCAAGTAAGGAAATTAACAGTTTTCCCAAATCTACATCTGAAAAAATTTAATTCATCATTAAATGTACAATCTATATCACTACAGTGTACCCTGTTTATTAAGTACTTATTAGGTACCTATTATGAGCCAGGTGTAGATAAAAGCCAAGAAATAACAACTAGAATGTAACACCTATGGGGAAGGGTTCATAGCTTGGTGGAAGTGGTAGATATGCATGGTAACATTCATATTATTACCATTATAATGTCATTAGTACACAGCATATGGAAAAGGATCCATCTAACTCTCCTGGAAAGATGAGGAATTGGCTTCATGTGAAGGAAACATTATAATTTTACTGATTAAGCATAAGTAACAACTTACATGATAGTCTTCTGTACTTCTTTAAAGAACTATTTAAACTCAAGATATGGAGAGGGCTGTCAAAATATAAATACAAAACTAAGTATAAAAATAGCAGAGATTAATGATTAAGTTGTTTTTATGTGTGCCATTTCTCATATTAAGGAATATTCATAGAGTAGTAATTAAGAGTATAAATCTTGGAGTCAGACTGACTTATTTGAATCCTGACTCTTCTGCTTACTAGGTATATGACCTTGAGCAAGTTATATAAACCACTCTGTCCCTCAATTTCCTTATCTGTAAAATGGGGATAAATACTACCAGCTCCATAAACTATTGGGAGTATCAAACAAAATGATACATGCAATGTTAACAGTAACAGCATCTTTGGAAGACTTACCATGTTCCAATCTCCTAGCACTTAAAGAGTTTACCACAATGCCTGATATATGGTGAAAGCCCAATAAATATAACATTTGTCTCACAATTGGTCCCTTTATCACTCTCTAGGCAAAGAATGTGAAATGAGCTTATCAGGAGCCCCCCAGAACTATACCAAGGGCCAAATCATGGATATCATAACCTGAATAATAGTTTCTTCTATAGTATCTGTGGTTTCTCACCAAGGCACCTCTCTAAAGGAAAAAGAAGATGGCATCCACTCAGTAATCACCATATCCAGCCTCTCCTTTTTTTCCACTGAGAAACTTAGGGTGTTTTAAAACTCTAAGCTGGTGTCCTCACAGTCTTCTAAGGCTCTTACAGGGAAGAGGGAAAGATTTTGCTATTTTTACAGTGGCAAAAAAATGAGCTTCACAAATTATTCTTATACAGTGACCCAATCAATGCAAGACTTGAAAAACTAAATGAAGGAAGAGGGTCAAAATCCATGAGTAGCATGTTCATCAGATGCAATTCTTTTTCAACCCATAGCCTTCTCCAATACCCAACACATATTGCCTTTTCTTTCCATTTTAGGGTAAGGCATTAGGCTAAACATAAGGATTATAGAAACTTGATGGCCCTGAGCTTTAGACTTGCTTACGAAGTGAAATAAAGTAGCTCTTAAGATTCTTTCTAATGCCAAAATCATGGTTTCTCCTAAGACAGTACGTGGACACACACACACACACACACACACACGAGACTTGCAGAGATCCAAAAAAGAATAACAATAATAATAATAACCCCAAACAAACCAACCACACACACACACACAAAAAAAAAAAAAAAAAAACACAACTTTAAACAAGTAGGGAAGAAAGAGAAAGTATACCAAGCAAACATCTACTCACCAGATGAACCTGGCAGAGTCTGCTCCCAGTGGTCCTCCTTCCAAGCTTTTCTAGAGGTAGCCTTGCCAGAATACCTTTTGTCTGTGTCCAAGAGGGAGGCTGATGCCAGTTTTCTGATGCTACCCACAGCCAGGTAATCACCTTCCCCATCTTCCCCTTCATCAAACCTGTCAATCACTCTGGCAGCAGTGGCTGTAGGGGAGGGGTGGGAGCGGGGGAAGTCTCCAGGTTAGAGGGAACTTGAACGGTAATCCTGTCCAATCCTTTTAACGCATCCTCTACAAAATCCCAACTAACTTCCAGGAAAAAGAAACGCATGACTTCTCAAGGTAAGACCACTACCGTATTGCCGTCCCTGAACAGAAAGTTGACCTCTGCATCCGCTAGCAGGGCCTATTTCTACGCCCTGGATCATAAAAGCTAGCCTAATCCTTCTTCCACCTGTGACAGTGGCTCAAATATTGTTAAGTCAGCCATCTATCCTCCCTCCCTCCCTCCCTCCATCCCATCCCTAAGGCAGTTTGCTTATCCTGGCCCACCACCACCACCACCTCCTCCACCCACCCCCACCTCCACCCCCCTTTTGGCTGATATTTCCTAAGACACGGTCCAGCACTCACATTTATCCTTCCTTATTCTTCCTTCCTCACACTTCTCTGATTCAAGTCTAAAGCAGGATTACTCCCAACTAGACCTTGAACACCAGCTTACAGAACAGCAGTCGCATTCGTCAGCCCCTGAGCAAGTGTCTCGAGGCCTAAGGAGGCTTAAGCAGCACCACGGAATCCCACTTCTTCCTTCAATCTCCAAGTAAGTTCTTAGGGGCAGGCCGCCTTAAAAAACAAAACGGCTAAGACTTCCTTCTCACTTCTAACTCTACACCAGTAAGGGCATCCTGAAAGATACCTAGTCCCACCAACGACCAGACCCTAGCTCCCTGCAACAGCCCTGGAAGCCTGAGGCCCCGGGATGCTCCGCCCACCCGAGCACCCAGCCCAGCGTGCGGGTCGGAAAGGAGCCGAAGCCCTACTCCCGAGCCCGGGCAACGCTCCCAGGAGGCGGTTTCCCTCTGCGCGGGGGAAAGCCGAGCAGGCCGGGCGGCGAGGCCCGGTGGCCGGCCGCTGTCGCGCTGCCGCGCTGCCGCGCTGCCCTGGGCCGGCCCCACCGCTCCGCACGTGGCCTTTCCCCAGTCGGGCCTCACCCTCCTCCGGGTCGGCCTCAGGATCCGCCTCACGCGGGCGCGGGTTCAACAATTGCTCCAGCTGCAGCGCCAGCGGCCCCGCCATCGTCACCAGGTCTCGCTCCGCGCCGCTGCTCGTCAGCGTGCAGCCCAGCTCAGCCCCAGCCCCGGCCCGGGCCCGGACGGCTCTCTCCCCGCCGGGGCCCTGTCGCCCGGCAGACTGCTCCCCGGAACAGCCAGGGACCGCGCACAACCCCGCTCTAGCTCTGGGCCGGCCACTTCCGGGAGGCGCGCGGGAGGGGGCGGGGCCTGCGTCTCACTACGGGCGTTGCTAGGAAGAAGGCGGAAGCGCGCGGGAGGCTGTAGGGAGGGTCGCCGTCCCCGCGCGCGTGCGCGTGCGCGTGCGCGGAGGGGGTTGGTGTGGGGGGGGGCGGTCCGGGAGCGCGCGAGGGCACGTGGCCGCCGTTGGCGCTGAACAGACGCTGCGATGTGCCGCGGCCCTTGTTCCCCTTTAAGATTTGCCCGAGATTCGCTTAGAAATAAAGTGTAGTGTGGCCGTGGCCTATGATGGCTGATTTGAAAAAGACGAGGGAGTAAAGGGTGAGCATCTCCAGCCTCAGGTGCGCTTTCAGGGACGCACAGACTGAACCAAGATGGGTTTGGCATTTAACAAGTTGGAGGAGGCTGGGGCCGGGCACATGCCTGTGACCCTGTGGTGGGCAGGCTTGAAGAATCCCACATCAGGGATGTGCATGTGTGTGTGCCGGACTGTTGGCGTCGTTATTAACGGGAATAATTAGAAATCGCTCCGGCGGGATGCCTGGGTGGCTCAGCAGTTTAGCGCCGTCTTCAGTCCAGGGCCTGATCCTGGGGACCCGGGATTGAGTCCCACGTCGGGCTCCCTGCATGGAGCCTGCTTCTCCCTCTGCCTGTGTCTCTGCCTCTCTCTGTCTCTCATGAATGAATGAATGAATGAATGAATGAATAAATAAATAAATAAATAAATAAATAAAATTCTAAAAAAGATTTTTATTTATTTATTCATGAGAAACACCCAGAAAGAGGCACAGACAGAGGCAGAGGGAGCCTGCCATGCAGGGAGCCCGACGTGGGACTCGATCCCGGGTCCCCAGGACCACGCCCTGGGCTGAAGACGGCGCTAAACCGCCAAATAAATATTTTTTTTTAAAAAATCGCTCCGTCTGTTCATAAATAAAGAGCGACGCTGCATTTTCTTCGAGTAGCCTTGTCTTAGGGAAAAGGAGGTGGTGGCGATTACTCTGTATCCTCATTATTGGTATCTGTTCAAAGGTGAAGGCATACCCACACCCTTGAAACTGGTGCACAAATGCAGAGAAACCTGTACCGTTAGAGGGGCACAGGTAGACTCAGAATCTAAAGACTTAATAGGATCAAGTTAATTACACCCAGCCACATGGAAAGATAATCCCTTTGTATTCTCTCCTTCATGAAGTATGCCCTAACTGCCCAATGTGTGGCAGGCACTGCTAGATGAAATACAAAGATGAGTAAGTTAAATTCTCTCCTGAAGGTGATCAGCCTAGGGGGGCAGACAAACTTGTTAACAGAACAGGCAACAAGAAATGATAAGGGTGAGTTGAAAGTGGTCTATCCTTCCAATGTCTGTCTGAGGTCACCTGTAGAAACTTAGGACGCCCTGAACAGAAACTGCATCAGAAGAGTCCAGAAGACTGTTAAGGGAGCCGGACCAAGTTGGATCCCATAGCTGAACAGCCTGGGAACCCTTAGCTCATCAACTGTTTCCTGTGGAACTTAAGGGAGGTGAGGGTCCCTGACTTTCACAGTCTCAATATGCCCTCAGGGTCAAGATCAATGAGAGACCAATCCTTTAGTGAGGCTTGCTCCTGTCCCCTTCCTAGGTGGCTGCAGAGGGGAAGGAGAACCTGTCTGTAGGGCAGACCCCCTCAAACAGGAAAGAGAAAAAATGCCAGGCTTTACCAGCAGCAAGAGGATTCAGAAAACAGCTTTGTTTATTTTTGTTAACATATCCCCTGTAATTGCAGTCTGGGGCCTATGACTGGGGCTTCCAGAGGAAAAAAACAAAAACAAACAAACAACAACAAAAAAAACCATGCGCCTCAGGCTGCCACAGGGAGCCTTCGCCTTGGACTTCAAAAGAACAAAAATGTTTCTTTCCACATTTAGGAAACTGCCTCCCCCAATCCTCCTCCCTTCCTATTTTGAACAATGGCGCTTAGAATCCCTGCCTTCAGGGTAAAGAAAAGGGAGAAAAGAGGGAGGGAGGCAAGACAGGTCAGAGACCACCTCTAAGCTGTCAGGCAAACAGGACACTAGTGGATGATTCTGGGTAGAAAATGGTCAGAGTTCTGCTTATCTACTCTCCCTTCTCCTTCCCGGTCCCCACTGACTTGGAAAGCCTTGGAAAGACTACCGTACTCTAGTCACAAATATCCCAGGGCCCCTCAAATGCTTCTCCTGCTTTCTTATGCCACACTGAGGGTAGGGAGGGGGAGACAAGAGAAAAGAATTCTAGGTCTTAATATGCAGCCGAGAGAAATTGAGGCATGGGGCAGGGGAGCACCCTCCTAAAAGCCCTCTCTAGGGGGCCCTCTCTGCTTGCATGCTGGTGTCTTGAGAAGGAAAGAGGGGTTTCCTGGTGGGAACAGGTCTGGAGATGGAGAGTGGACTACAAGCGAGGATATTTCTAACCTATACCTTCTAGAAGAAACGTAAGCCTCTGAATGCTTTGGGGATGAGAGACAGCAGATTTGATGACCAGAGGGATGGAAATAAATGGGAGCACTCTCCAAAAAGAACAGTCCTCTCCCCTGGAGGTCAGAGGGTCTCCTGGGTCACAGTTCTCTGTCTGCTGCCTCAGGGCTGCAGAGTGACAGGCAGAAGATGGGCAAGGGTGACATTAGGTTACCATCCCACCCCCACCGTTGTCCCAATCAACTATTCCTATGACTAGGTGTTTCAGAAGTTTAGGGAAACCAGGTTCTTGTCTGCCTCTCTTTCCAGATGCCATGAATCCCCAGGTCCCTGCCAATGCCTGTCCTGGCTCTCCCTACTTCTCCCACACCTTGCACACCTTGTCTAGCCCTGATGCAGTCCTCAGTCTCCTCCAGCCTGGAGAAGTTGGAAGGGTGAGCCTCGGCTCCCTAGCCCAGGGCAGATGGTAGCTTCCCCAGGTTGGAACCCTGAGGGCAGATGGCCAGAGGCACAGAGGTGGCATCTTTAAGATGGCCGCAGGGAGAAAGCTAACTGCCAAGCCCAACTCGAGAGGAGACTGTCCTCCTAGGAGACGGGGGACCGCTTGGGTGCTTCCTATGACCCTTGAGCCTCTCCTCGGAGCGCCCAGGCGGCCGCCTGCGGACGGTGCCGCCAGCGCTTCTCTGCACCCGAGGGCCAGAGGTGGGCAGCGCTGCTCTGATGGGAAGGAGAATACTCCCTGATATTTCTAGACCTCCTCCTCTCAGGCGGCTCCAAATCTGACTGCTAAGCTTTGCCACCTCTCCAGGTATTTGTTAGGGTTCAGTATACAGAGTCAAGGGGGGAAAGACTGCCCTGCTGCCACGGTCAGAGAGAGGAAATAAGTCCACACTGAGCGCCCAACTCAAAACGCTTCTTAACAAGTACCCGATTCACAATAAAGCTGCTAAATAATTCAGCAGCCTTGATAGGAAAATGCAACTTCCCATGAGCGTACGTTCAGTTAAATGAATGTCTTTAAAGGGGGTGGCTATAATGAATAAGTTGGCTGTGATTTAATGTATATAAACGCTAAAGGGGTAAAAACAGCCGATCCAGGGATTGCATGCAAAGCAGATAAAGAAATGTGCCATATGCAGAAGCTAGGAGTTTCAAAAGTCTCCCTGTATTTCATAAATTTGGATTTCTGAAAGAACACTGTCAGGTTCCTCCCAGATAGTCCATCAAAGACAAACCATCATATAGATGCAGTGAAATATTGCTTATTTTAAAGCCTTCCCTGCAGGAAAGATACACTTGGTTGTGTCTTAACAAAATATGAAAACGACAATGGAAATTACATACCGTTTAATGTAAAACCTTTGGTTTTTAAAACGAAATAAATAATCCGGACTGAAATATAGGTGATATAGAGAAGAAATTCTGGAACTCTAATAGCATCTAATATTAAAAACACACACGTATCCCATAGTAGATAAATATTTAAATTCCTTCCATGTTTAATGAAGGCTTGGAAGGGATTGAAGTACTTTTCAGAACCTATTGGCAACTCCCGGGTGAAATTTGATTTCTCTATTGGTTATTTTTGCTCATCTTTCAGAGGAAGGTAATAATATGTAACCTGTGCCAGGCAAAATAGTTTTTCCCTCTAGGAAACTTCCAATATAACAAACATTATAAAACAGCTACTTCACATCAGTTCTCTGAAAGGGATCAAAGTCATTTCTAGCTGTACTGTACATTCATTTTATGTTATCTTTTAAACTACCAAATTAGAGAGCAGGATTATCTGTGGGAAGTGAGTTGAAACTGGAAAGGGCCACCTCTAACTATATTTACAGGTAACTGACTTTCCCAAGTCCAGTTTTACGTGTGCAGAATGGGGGATAGAGACAGTGTATGGGATCTCCTGCCTAATCAGACTGGGAACACTCATTTTTAGCCATGGATTTGATTTCTATTTCAAATTCTATAAACTTATCAGCAAATATCTCTTCAACTCTATCAGTTAAACCCACAGAATGCAAATCCGTAGTTATTAGCAGGAAGCCACGGAGAAGAGCTAGGCTGGCATTAGCAAGGGGATTCAGCCACAGGCAAGGTAAAAAGATACCCCATTCCTGCCTCTCTTCCTCCTGGCTTCTGAGGGGTCATTCAGCTCCCCATCAGGCCTCCCCTCTACTTGTTAAAACATTAAATAACACACCAATTATCTAAACATCAGATTTTCTATTTTTATTAAAAACTCACAAATTTATTCAACATGTTTTCTTTCATACAGTGAATGGTCTAATATGCACTGGAGGTCACACAAGCTTAGGTTTATCAGAACAATAAAAGACATGAGAAATTTAATATATAAAGAAAAAAGTAGCAGCTGTTGACTGCATATTTGACCATAAAATTTAAATATTTTGGACTTTTATTTTAAAGACACAAAAATAAAACCTGTGCGGGTCTATATAAGTCATATTAACAATTCCATGAATGTTCAACAGGACTAAAAATTAGCAAAGATGGTTTTTTTTAAACCTTGTAACACTTTGTTTTTTTTTTTTTTAACACTTTCTCAGGTTGCGGTGCCAGGCACCTTTACAGTATTTGTGCTATAATTATTCTATTTGGCAAGTGTCTGAATATCATGTTTTCTTTTTGCCTTGTGTAAACAACACCTTTTTACGTACTAGCACAGTGAGCTGTGAGCCCTGCAAATCTGTCAGAACATCTACAGGAAAAGAAAATGAACAATTTTGGTTGATTGCTCAAAACATTTTCTTTTTGAACAAGAGGTTTCAAAACAGGATATATTAATAAAACACTGAACTCCTGAATTTAACATTATACGTAAACAGTTGACTGTTTTTAGTTCAATAGTCTTTTTTTAACTTTTTTTTTTTTTGTATGTGTGAAGGTAAAATACTTTCTTGCACAGTTGATGTTCAAGTCATTTTACTGAGTGGTCCGGCTGGAGACCATCCTATCGAGGGTTTGTGTGTGTGTGTGTGTGTGTGTGTGTGTGTGTGTGTGTGTGTGTGTAGAGCTTTGTGAAGGTAGAAGAGTTGATACTGAGGGCTTTACATTGAGAATTTTGCAATTTTGGCAAAAACAAAAACCAAAAACCCAGATAGACAAAAAATATATATATATATAGTCCCACCTGATGCACAGCAGGTCGGCGTTTCTGAAGCTATGAGAGTTTGTTGTCGCTGTTCCTGAACACTGAGACAACTCTAGTAAGAGATTTCCCAGGGCCAGCACCCTCCTGGCTGGCCCGGGGCGCCCGGGGCTGCTCCCCCTCCCGCACCCCGCTGCGCCTCTCCGCCCCCCTCCCCGGGAGCTCCTGGCGTCCCCACCGGCTGTGCGCCCCCGGGCCGCGGTGGCTGTTACCGTGCGGCCCTCCGGCCAGGCGCGCGCTGGAGGAGTCTGTCGGCGCAGCCCGGTGCAGGTGGAAGATGGGGGGAGAGGTCTGCATCTCCTTTCGGGAGCCCCAGCTCCGCACCTCGCCGGCCCGCGCACGGATCCCAGTTCTGCCTCCAGGCGGATTTGGATCCTATTTTTCGTCCCCCTTTCCCATCCGGACTCCCCAGCGGGAAAATGGTCCCCGACGCTGCACGAAGTGTGTGTGTGTGTGTGGGTGGGTGGGTTGGGGGGTGGGGGGGTGGGTGACTTGCTTTTTAATGTTTTTTTTCTTCTTTTTTCTATTTTTCTTAAATAAAGGTTCGTTTCTGTACAAGCACGAACTCCGCGGACCCTGCGAGATCCCGCTACCACACGGCCGCCTCGTTCATTTCGGGGGGGTGAGACAGGTGGTTCCCGTAGCTCGCGCCGCCGTTGACCGAGAGCGAAGAGAACGGCGGGCTGGGCCCGAAGACCTCGGCCGACATGGAGTGCAGAGGCCCGGGCAGGCTGGGCTCAGGGCTGGGCGAGTCCCCGGGGGGATGCGCCAGGATGTCAGTGAACCGCTGCGCCTCGCTCGACGGGTGGTGGCCGGGCAGCGGGTGCTCCAGGCCGCCCAGGGGCGTCCCGGAGGGGCCGGACGACGGCACGAAGGGCAGGTCCACGGGCGTCTGCGCCTGCGAGGACGGGGGGCCTTGCGGGAAGAAGTCGTAGTTGCCCCCCGGCCCGTAGTACTCGCTCTGGTAATCTGCGGAGCGGCGGGGAGGAGGATGTCAGCGGAGGAGGAAGAACGGGAAAGGCAAGTCGGGGGGCTCCCCTGCGGGCTGGCAGCGGGAGGGGGCCCGGTGCGAACGCTGGAGCTGCTCCCGCCAGCCCGCGCCGCCGCGTTCGCAGTCGGGGGTCCCGCCCGCGTCCCCACTACCCGCGCGGCGCTGACCCGCCGGCCTCCGCCGCGTCTCCCCCTCGCCGGGGCGCCAAGAAGCGCCTCCCGCGCTGCCACCCGCGTCCTGCGAAGCGGACGCGGCCCGCCCCGCCCTGCCGCGCGGCCGCACACTCACCTCCGTAGAAGGAGAAGGGCCCGTTGGGGATGAGCTCGCCGGGCTCCAGGCGGTCCACCAGCGGCCGCATCCGGCGCGGGCTGCGGAAGAAGGCGTGGCGCCGGGCGCCCAGCGCGCTTAGCTGCTTCATCCTCCGTTCCTTGGAGCGTCTGTTCTGGAACCAGACCTGAAGCACATAGGCGGCGGCGTGAGGCCCCGCAGACAACGCCTCCCCACTTCGGGTGCGCGGCTGGCCGGCCCCGAACCCCTCCAACCACTGGCTCCACACAGGGCTCCGAGTGTGTGTGTGTGTTGTGTGTGTGTAAGGGGGTTGTGTGTGTGGGGGGGGTGGTGGTATGTCTCTTACTAGGACCGCGCACGGCGGCCCCTGAGCCAATGATATACGGGATTCCCGACTGGGGACCTGGGCAAGCCGCCCTGCCCGACGTGAGGCGCTTGAAGTTGTTTCCAACAGTCACACTGTCACAGTTGTAGCTTCTGGAGGCTGTACACACGTAGACACGCAACCTCCCCAAATAGTGTCAGACACAGGCAGCTTCCCATTCACGGTCCCTGGCAGCCCCCTCCCCCACATGATCGTGGCAGAGAACAGCCTCCTGTTGACAGTCTACCAATGATAGTGATGCCAAAACCCACAATCTCCTTTTCATATCCACGCAAATCTCCCAGTGCCAAATACATTTATCCATAGCCTCTCACTGACAAGACAGAGACCGGCAACCTTCCATTCACTATGCACAGGATGGTACAGCCTCCCCCTCCCTGGGGCTCAGGGTCTACTTGCATAAGTGTGCCCACGCATACTTGGTCTCCCAGGCACATCCAACCACATCCTCAAAGAGCCTCCGCAGGTGAACCAGACACCTAACCTTGGGCTTGAGACTCAGGCCCAAATCACATGCAGCTCCAAGTCCTCACAACCCACTAGCACAGCTGCCCAGATGTCCACCTCCCCTCCCTATCCCACTCTAGACTGCCAGAGGCTGAGCTGACTCCAGCTTGGGCCTTTCCCCCTTCAGACCTGGATGCCCCCATCTCTCTCTGGAGAAGAGGTTTCTGCTCTGGGGCTTGTCTAACTGAGGCATGAGACCCACAAAGTAGAGGTTGGAGACACAGAGGGAGATCTATGCTGTGGAGAAACCAGTGGAACTGATTAATTCTGGCATGCTCGGAGACCTCTGGGTTCCTTCCAAACAAGGTGGGTGGTGCAGAAGAAAGGGTCCCAACTTCCTAGCAGTGTCCAACACCGTCCCCTCCTCCATCCTCATGATGAGCTCCCCATCCCACCCCCTGTGCCACTACCAGCACCAGCTTCAAATTGGGAAATGGAGGCTGCCTAGGGATTTCTGATGCCCTACACATGGGTGTAGGTCACCAGTGGAGGGGTGTGTCTGGGCCTCTCCAGTCCACCCCCTCCAGCCTCCCAGGACTCACTCCCCTCCTTGAGGCTGGGTTTCCCCCGCTTGGCCTGGTTGCCTGCCTAGAGGACCCATGTCGGTCTCTGGGGGAATGGAGTGGCATGCCCAGGCCCTGACCTGGATGACACGCATGTTGAGGCCAGTCTCCTGAGCAAGCTGCTCTCGGATATGGCGTGTGGGCTTGGGAGTAGCAGCGAAGGCCGCCTTCAGAGTTTCCAGCTGCTTTGCCTTGATGGTGGTACGTGGCCCCCGCCGCTTGGCACCCAAGTTCTGGTCGTCATTTTCGTTGCTGCCCCCTTCCTTGTCTGATACATTGGCGCTCTCTGAGTCCTTGGCATCATCCTGCGATGGGTCTTGGGAGTCCGGAGACAAACTGGGGTCACTGCCCGTGGTGGCTGGGGAGAGGGAGGGGACAGGTGAGCAGCGGCCTTAGTGGGCCTTCTTCCCCCAGGACCCACCCGCCCCTAATGAGCTGGGAATTAGGGCCTCACCCGAGTGGAGGCTGTTCTCTTTGGCGACACTGCTGTTGCTTAGGTAATCCTCTTTGCAGACAAACTTGTTCTCATCGATGATATAGAGCTCCTCGCCAGTAGAGAGCTGCTTGTTACACATCATGCAGGTGAAGCAGTTTAGGTGAAACACTTTGCTCCGTGCTCTCCGCACCAGGTCACTAGGGGAGATGCCCTGTGCGCAGCCCGCGCATTTTGTACCGAAACATCTGTGAGGTGGGAGAGGACGGGATGGTGAGGCGCAGGGGGAGAACAGAGGCCAGGCAAAGGATGATAGAGAAAGAGAGAAATAAGAAAGTGGAGGAAGAAGCAGAGGAAAGGGGAAAAGAAGAGAGACAAAAAAGAGAGGCAGAATGCCCATCATGCAGTAAAGAAGGCAGGAGAGGGCAGGGGCACCAGTGAAAAGTCAGTGAGGGGATACACAGGGTTAGAATGCGATTGAGGGGCCCAAGCTGCAACCCCACCCCCGGCCTTATGCCCCGTGTTGTCCCAGAGGAAAAGAGCGCCTGTGGAAGGAGGCGGCAAGGCGGCAATGGGAAGGGGAAGGGAGGCACTTATTTCCTCATTAGATTCAGAGAACAAATTCTAATTAAAGCTCCAAGTAAACGCAACCCGAGCGCCGCTTTTCTCTCCCAGTGTCACCCTTCACCACAAAACGACCCTGCACATAGGCTGAGGATTGGCTAGGTCCAGTCCCGCCGCCGGTAAAGAAACAGCCACGGAGCGCGCGGACGGCTGCAGCTGGGCCACCGTTCAAGCCCAAAGCCCGGCAGGTTGGCATAAGCTAGAGCCACTGCGGGGCTCTAGGTGCCCGGCTGCGCTTTGCGGGAGCCAGGCCTCTGGGGCCCATTGGCAGCTGGCACCGCTCTCCGGTTCTCTGGTTCAGCTCTAGCTGGTATTGGGGACACTAGGTGCCGCCGGCCGCGGTTTGGAGGCTCAGCCTGCGCTTGCTCCCGGATATACCAGCCTGCACAGTGCTTTTCTCCCTGGTTCCCCGCAATCAGAGACATGCTTCCTAGGGCAGCGTTGGGGACAGTGCGTTCTGGGCCTCTAACCAAAGCAGTTCGGATGGTTTCGTGCCCCCACCTCCTCTCCCAGTTTGACCTGTCACCACAAACTCGGAGAAAAGCAGAGACCAAGTCAAAAGAGTAAACTGGGAGATTTCAAACCAGTAAAGAGGAATTAAAATTCTCATTTGCTCCTGTTCTTCTCGGCTGACTTGTGTGTTTGTGTGGATTTCATGGCAAGATAGTGAATTTTACAGAATAAATTAAAATGCTAAACGAAGGAGGATCATCTGGAGAAATCTCCCAGCTCTGACAGCCGACCCGGGTTTTCCCAACGTTTGGCAAGGAGGTGGGGCAAGGGAATAGTGCGCAGTGCCTGTGAGAGCTCTGAGCAGAGCCTACACCACAAAGCCGAGCTTCGCGTTGGGCGGCCGATCCTCTCGCCAACCCTGGCAGCCGGGAAGCGGGAGGGAAAGGTCTTCTCCGAGGCTGGAGCCTTGGGGCATTTCACAGGCATGTGCAGTTTGCCCAGGCCGGCGGCGCTTAAAGGCTGGTCAGGGTTTCAAGAATACCCTGGGATGTGCACCAGAGGTGTTAAGGCAGAGTTTTCCCTGCCGCTGTCAAGGCAAGGGACTCAGACACTCCAGGCAAAAGCCTAAGCAGTTCCCGCCAATACCTTTTGGAGATGAAAAAGGCAGTGTGGCATGTATCTGGCCTGGGCTTCTAAGCTCATCCTGGAGGGTGAGCAACCTGGGAGGCTCGGGGAATTAATACAGTTGCTGGAAAGGTGGTGGTGGTGGTGGGGGGGGGGAGACTGGAGCTGGGGTTACAACGCCCGGGGCTGTGCTGCCTCCTTCAAACCTTGGAGGGGCTTCTGGGTGCAATCGACTCAGACCCTTTCTTCCCAGGCACGTGCAGCTAAGCCAGAACCCGCAATTTCCAGGACGCAAGCAGGGCCGCGTCCTGGGCGCCCAGCGCCAGCTGGCGAAGAGGTGGATGCCCATGGGACTTGGCTGCCCTCTCCAAGGCTGCTCCTAAGGCGGTTGCTTCGGCCACGCTGACCTCTGATCCGAAGCTGGCCGAGAAGGGCCCGCGGGGAGGGAGCAGCAGAGGCGGGCCAGGGAAGTACTCACCGGAAAAAGTCGTTCTTGCAGTAGAGCTTGCCTTCCCGGGAGAAGCACTTCTCGGTCAGGTTGCATTTACATTCACAGCACTGGACGCACTTGACATGCCAGGCCCTGTCCAGCACGTTCAAGAGGAAGCGGTCCAGGATGGGCCTTTTGCAGCCAGCACAGTGCACCATGGTCTTTGGTTCGGTCGGGTGAGGCCTGAGGCCGGGAGAGAGAAGAGCAAGTAGAGCCTAGGGGATGATTCCCGAAGACGTCAGCAAGAGCTCCCCAACCCCTCCAAAAAGAGGAGACACACTGGGGGTGCAAGCCAAAACCCGCACCAAGAAATCAAAAGGGGCTGGAAATGAGGCTGATGGGGAGCGGTGGGCACCTCGGTGGAGTGTGCAGCCTGGGAGTCCCAGGGCACCGGGGCACAGCAGCGCGGCTGCAGCTCCTGGGACCAGCAAGAGTCTCAGGCGGGAGAGAAAGCGACCCAGAGCTCTGTTCGGCCCAGAGCCCTAGGAGGAGTGAAGGTCACCGAGAGCAGCGACGGGACAGAAATAAATAAAAAGGAGCCAGAGAAAGAAGAGCAGGACGCGGCGAGCTCGGGTTGCAGGGAAAGCGCCGTGGAGTTCTCTTGGGCTTGAGGTAGAGCTGTCAGAAGTCAAAGTGCATCTGCTTTTGCCAGGGTATGAGGGCGGGTGTGTGTGCCGGGCTGCCTGCCACCGACCAGAATTTCCCCTCCTCTTTGTTTTGTTTTGTTTTGTTTTGTTTTTGTTTGTTTTTTTTTTAGAAGAAAAGAATAAAACGAGTGTTGAAGCTTTGGATCCTAAGCGGCCGGCATCGCGCAGCGGGTCCGGACGCGCCGGCCTCCCGCGGTGGGCCTGGGGGAGGGGGTGGGGGCAGGCCAAGGGAGGAGGGAGGGAGGGAGGGGAAGGCAAGAGGAAGATCTCGTTGTTGATTGTTGTTGCTGCTTAGATTCCCCGGGTTTGGAGAAGTGTTTGTGTCAGTCGTGAGCGCAGAGAGACAACTCCAGGCGGACGCAGCCAGGTGCGCTTGCTCGCTCCCCACCGCCCCAGTCCCGTCACCTCGGCCCGTGGCCCGCCTGACGGCCTCCGTGTTTTCGGGACGGCCCTCCCTGCTTCTGGACTCCTCCGGGGAGGTGATACGGTCTGGCTCCTCACCGCGCCTGGCCGTGCATCGTGGCTCCAGTCACAACTCGCGGCCGCCTGGGCGCGCAGCCCCGCATCTCTCGGCCCGCGCTCCGGCTGCCTGCGTCCAACCACACAGTCGCTTGACTTTCTTTTCCTTTCCCCCCTTTTTTTTTCTCGTTGTGGTGGCAAATCTGGGTTTCCTTTCTAGCCTTTTTCCTTCCTTCCTTCCTTCCTTTTTTTTTTTTCTTTTGCAGCGGGAGGAGTCGGGGGGAGGGGGAGTAGCTTGGAGAGCTTTTAAAAAAAAAAACCCGTCCTGGTGCAGCAGCTATAGTTCGGCGCGGCCGGAACAGTTCAGCAAGGGCCGCTGCTGTCGCCGCCCAGGCCGCAGTTCGTTGCTGGCTGTCTCCGGACAGGCGTCCCTCTGTCCCTGGTCTCCTGGCCCAGTCCGCCGCCCTGGCGCGTCTCTCCCCAGCTCCGAAGGCTCGGTCACTGCTCCTGGCTGTTGGCTGAGCTCTGGAAGCCCCCTCGCCTTAATGCAGCGCCCGCCGACGTCACCGGGGCCTGCGACCAATCAGCGGCTCGCGGTCCCTCTGTAAACCATTCTGCATCCCCCGGCCGGGGAGAGTGCCGGGAGACCGCGTTTAGAGGATCAGTGGCGGCCGCATCCCCGGCCCCGCGCGGTGCAGGCGGCGGGCAGCGAGGTGCCCGAGCCCCTCCTGCTCCGGTAAGGCCTCGGTTTGGATGGGAAGGACTGAGAGCGCGCGGGAGTAGGTGCAGGCGGAGGGCAGAGTACTGTTGGAAGGTGGGATTAATCCAAGGTGGAACCTTGTTGGAGGTTGGGTTGCAGCTGGGTCCGGGAGCCCCGGCGGTCCCGGCGAACTCTTTGACTTTGCAATTCAGCGGGTGTTGGGCTTCCCCCGCCCCCTTCTTCGTGCTTTCTTGGCCTAAAAGTTTGTTCCGAGCACAGCGCGCGTTTTTGCGGTAGTGGGGAAGGGTGGGGGAGAGCCACAGAATCTTCCTTCTCCGATCCCTCCGTGCCTTCTCCCCCAGTCCATGCAAAGTCCATAGGGTCTCGGTCTCCCGGAGACCTGCGTGTCTGTTTCCCGCAGCGGTCTTGGAAAGTTGATTCAGGCGGTTTCCTGATGGGGGCGGGGGAGACCGGAGGCGCGGCGCCGGGGAGGGGGAAAGGAGTGGGTGGGGAAGCGCCTCGGGTGAGGAGTTGCCACCCAGGCGAGAAGTTGTGTGGAAACTGTGATCCGGAGACACCTTTTACATACAAAAACAAACGACTAGGCGGGAAACTGCAGGGCATCCGTGGCGGCTGGCGGGTGGTGGTAGTGGCAGTGGGAAGCCGAGACGTCTGGGGCTCCACCGACAGACTGCAGTGGATTCGGGAGTGCAGCGCACGGGCTGGGTGGGCCCGGCTTCTCCTCCCCTGTTCCAGGTTCCCGGCTAGCCACAGCTCCCGAGACCACTGCTGACCACACCCACTGTGTTCACTCCTCAGGGAGCCTTTACCTCCCTAATTCGGAGTATAACCTCAGGACCACTGCCGGGGGGGGGGGGGGGGGGCAGATATTCCAAACGTGGGGCTCAGGTCCCGGTTCTGAGAACCCTAGCCTGGAAGAGTCACTCCGGTTTCCCGCCTTACGCCAGTCAAATACCAAATACCGTTCTGGACAGCACCATTCCTGTGTTAACCGGGGATTTCTCGTGAGGTCTGAAGGTGGCAGGGCTGGGGAGTCCTGTTTTTGCTCCTCGTTTTTTTTTGGGGGGGGGAGGGTGCTAAGAAGTCTCCTTCAGCCCTAGGAAGAAAATAAAGATGGGCAGCTGGCCAGGTCTAGCCGGTATTTTGGAATCGGCCTTTCCTTCCCACTCACGGTGGGGGACTCTGACATCTCACACAAGGGCCCGAGACTAAGGGGGAAAATGCGCGCTGAAACACAATTGCAATGAACCTGAGCTGGTCCGGGATCCAGCTCCCTGCAAATGGAATACCCTCTTCGAACGAACCGGGAAGCCGCTACAGAAAATTTGGTTTGTGCTCTGTGGGAGTGGAGTTTTGGGGCTCTGCCAATGCCCCTTTCCTGCCTTCAAGCTTCAGCCCGCACCACCCTGCAACCCCGAGGCCACCGCCAGCCCCCACCTCGCCTCCGGTGTCACCTTTTCATTGGAAGCCAAAGTCGAGGTCCAGCGTTCCACCCTTTGGCGTTTAGCCCATCCTGACCTCTAGGCGCGGGCCCTCTAACATCTTCTCACCCTCTCCGAAAACACCTGGGCTGGGGCTCCCCGCTGCGGGGAGGGCGGTGTTGGGGCTGGTTATCTTTCTTGCATCAGCCCCCTCCGCCGGCCTCTTTCAGGGCCCAGCTCAGGTCTGGAGTAAGATGCGGAGGGCGGTTCTCCAACCCTGCAGGCCGGCTTCTGGAGATCGGACTGGGTGTTTGGGCTCCTCCTGCCGACCCAACACTCCCAGGAACCAGCCGATCCGTACCCAGTTCTCCAGCTCCCGCGGAGGCGCTAAGAGCTGCTTGGCTCAGAGGACCCCATCTCCTCCACCTGGAGCCGGAGGAGCCTCCCCAGCCCGCTGCGTTCGGTGAGACCCGCGAGGAGGGGCTGGTCCAGTCCAGCGGTCCCCACGCTCCGCCCCCCCTCCGCCCCCAGCTGTCCTGGTTCTCGCTGCTAGCGCCCTCGACCTAACCGCCCCTTTCTGGAATCTAAAGCCATCAGAGTCCCGAGTGGCTCAACCCCCGCCCCCGTCCCAGCTGGGCTCCTTCTCATGCAAAGCAGAGGGGCCGTGGGGGTGGAGGGCAGTCGGCGGGGACCTACGGGTGACAGCTGGACCCTGCTGCCAGGCCTTCTTGTACCCAAGGCCTGCTGCCTCCTTTCGGGTGGACAGGAGGGGGTTGCTCCACCCGTTTGGGGGTGCTGTGATCTTGGGACCTCGGACCAACGCGGTAGGGGAGTTGAGGATGAGAAGGGACGCGGGCTCTGGGGCATCAGGGTCTGCTTATCCCCGTGTCCAGATGGTTCAGTTAACAGGTTTGCGGGAACTCACCCCCGCGACTACCAGGGAATACGGAGCGCAGCTCTAGGCGCGCCTCTTGGCTCCTGATTCTACGTTTAAAGTCCAGACCTAAGGCCTCCCCGGCGACAGCACACTATATTAATGTGTTATTTTCGTTTCCATTGAGCTTCTGTTTTAAAATGTATGTGGTCGCCCAGTCTTGGAGAGAAAACTGAACCAGCTTTCCAAATTAGCCGCCTCCGAAGGCTCTCAGCTCAGCTCTGCATTTAAACCAGTGGCTGCTCCGCGAAGAGCACCAAGCTTCCCTTCTCACCCTCACCACCACTCGCTGCCAGCATCCCGAAGCACACAGCGCTTTCCTAGGCAAGGACCTCCAAGGCACACAGACCCATAGTCCCGCACACCGCCCCCAGGGCGCGGGAGCTCTAGGCTGGGTGCCGTGAGGGTCAATTTTGCCTCTGGCCCTTCACTCGGTGGCCGCGGAATCCCCTCCACCTCATCCCCAGGCTCCGTTGGAAAAGGCTCCGGAGGGGCCAGGAAGCGGCTTTCACAGTACAAGTTTCCTTTCTGAGAAGCGTTTTGAGGGTCCCCAGAGGCAGGATCCTGCTGGGGAATTGGGGGACGGAGGGGCTTCTGCTAGCCCTCTCCAGACACCCTGCAGTTTTGAGGGGGATCGGTGGTGCCCTCTCCTGTGTCTGATTTCCTCCCGTGATCTTTGTGGTTCCAAGCCCCAGATCGCTTTGCTCCCTGACGTTCCCGCGTGGCTCGCGTGGCCCAAAGACCCGAGCCGGCCAGGCACCATCAGCGGCTGTAGATGCGAGAGCGGCGACCGCCCCTGGCGGCTCCCCTCCTTGCCCACCGCGCTCCGGGGCAGCCCGCCGCTCCCCAGAAGAGCGCGGTGAGGCCGTGACGGAGGGCGCTCGGGGAGGAGCGGACTCCAGGCGGTTCACAGCGCCCGGCTTCGCGCACCCGCCGTAACCAGCCTCGCCCGTGCAGGCAGAGGGCGGAGGGAGCGGGCGGGTCTTCTCCAGGGGTTCAGGAGGCCGCACAAACTCCGCACAGGCTCGGCGGAGATGCTACGCACGAAACTTTGGCCCCGGGCCCTAGGATCTGATCCTACGTCTTCCGCTCTCGCCTTTGCGCCTGGTTTAGGTTATCTTAATCTCACTCCATCACTCACTCCTGGAAATGACCTACTTTTGTGCACCACTTTACAGTTTATATCACGATCTCCCCTGAACCGCATATTAGGAAGGGGGAGCGGATTTGTCTTATCTCCTTATTCCCGGGGAAGAAACCCACGTTAGGGGGTTGGCCCGGGATCCCTGGGCCCGTGCCCTATGGAAGGTGAGAAATTTGGGGTGGGGGCTTGTCACCTTGCACCGCTGTGTACTTTGGCCCCAGCGGGGAAGGGAGGGGGTGGGGGACAGCGAGGCGAGGGGGGCGGAGGGCAGCATCCGGCCCGGGCTTCGCGGTGTGCGCTCGGGCTGGGTAAACAAGGCTGGCTTCCCACGGGGACAGGGAAGGGGGGGCACCCTGAACCTGGAAGGGGCGGGGGAAGGTCAAGCGTGGCGATCTCAGATGCGAGGCAGCGCCGCGGAGCAGAGACCAGTGGCGGGTAGTCGCGGAAAGGAGAGGGTAAGTGGAGGAGGCAGGAGAGAGAGAGAGAGAGAGAGAGAGAGAGAGAGAGAGAGAGAGATGGAAGTGAGG